TAAAAACCATGCCTGAACATATCACCCATACTCGTATTCCTTCCTTCCTTTCCTCTTTCCTTCCTTCCTTCCTTCATTCCTTCCTCCTTCCTTTATTCCTTCCTTCCTTCATTTATTCATTCCATCTCGTTCTTTCTCCTTCTCTCTCTCTCTCGCTCTCAGTCTATCTATCTATCTATCTATCTATCTATCTATCTATCTATCTATCTTCTTCTCTTCCACTTCTCGTTCTTCTTTTTTATCCCTTCCTCTCTTCCTGCAATCCTCTACCCCTCATCTCTCTCTCTCCCATCTCCCCACCTACCCGTCTTTATTATTTCCTCCTACTCACCCTCTCTCTTTCCTGATATCCTCTTTTGCATGCCTTTCTTCCCACCTCCCTTTCGCGCGCCATTTCTCCACCCCACTTTATTCGCCACTTTCCACTACTCTCTTTCTCTCTCACTCACTCACTCTATCTCATTTCTTTCTCACACTTCTACTCTCGCTCTGCCGTTCTTTATGTCTTTCTCTCTCTCTCTCTCTCTCTCTCTCTCTCTCTCACCAGCTTTTATTTTCCCTGGGTCTCTCCCTCTCTCTCCCTACTTTCTTCCCGTTCTTCGCTCCCCCTTCCCTTCCTTTTTCTCCCTCTCTCTCTTTCTCTCTCTCTCTCTCTCTCTGTCTCTATCTATTTCTTCAGTTTTCTCTCCATGTCATTGTTTAAACTTTTTCCAGTCTCACTCAAGACGGGCAGAGACTGTGCGCTCATTGGGGTGACAACCAGTTCCAGAGGAATACGCCGATTGCAAAAAAGAAGGGTTATTTCGGTCTATTTAGCCGTAGTCATACCAATAATGTTATAGCCGCACTACATGTAATGCCCTTAGGGTTCGAACAGGTTAGGAGACCCACGACGAATCTTATTTAAATTATTCTATCACTGCTTTATGACTCTATCTATGATAACTTATATACCTAAGTTCATTTCGTTTTTTTTTTCTCACAACCTATATTTAGCAGCTATGTGGGACACCTCAGCGTAGTGTAATGGTTAGCAAGCCTATCTCGTTAGAATAATTACGACTGGATAGGGAGTGAGGTCATCACTCTGTGTCTTATACTTTCGCCATTCCGCCACATCTAAGTTACGCTTAGAAAATTCCTATATTCACCAGCCATTCTCCAGGCGCATTAATTTTGAAGAAATACCTTAGGATTGACCATATGCCCGTCCGAATCGTTGACATGGCAAATATCACATAAAACGTAAGAATTCTAAAACCAACAAGTATGGGGTGGGGTGGATATGCAAATAAAACCGACTAACAACTGAACGAACCATAATAATGCCAAGCAGACGACATAAAAAAACCCAAGTGCTTATTAACTGAGCTACGACATGAAACCGTGGAGTTTATTGCTGTTCGTAAGAGAGTTTAGTACGAAAAGCTGAACGGAGTTGGGGTCGTATATTCGACATTGTTTTATACGCTATTGCAGACGTGCCTATCGATAAACCAAATCAGTTATCCTGTTTTTTCTTTTTGTACTGACGCATAGCTCTGCCGTTGGTACATTATGGATGCCTTGAGAGTTAGTTAGACGGCCTTTCCTTACAGGCAGTGTGACCTTTTTCTGTGACTCTCGAGGCTACTGCCTCTGGGACCCATCATACCACACTAGCACGGACGACGGAACTTTTTCTTTGAGGACAGAATCACACACATGGAGATTTATGTTGCTATATGCAAATACGGGGGATAAGGATTTTCGTATTAGTGCAGCTCTATCTGTAGGAACTCATATGCGTGTGTGTATGTGTGTTTGTGCGTGTGTGCGCGCTCGCGCTGTTTGTAGGCTCGAGAGGCAAAAGGCATCTATATGCCCGGTGTACAAATGCGCTCATATTATACACAGGTGACATACGAGCGAGCACAAACTCACCCACATACTATATATATATATATGTGTGTGTGTGTGTGTGTGTGTGTGTGTGCAGGTATGTAAAAAAATAGGAAAGAACGACGTTAGGTAAATAATCCAGGGTTCTTTAGTATTTTTGTTTTTATTTTTTTTTAAAATAATAATTAATATATATATATATATATATATATATATAATTATTTATTTAAAAATATGATTTCAACGCTACATAAGAGTTCTCATGTTTCAAAACAAGAGCCGAAAACTTCAATATAATTATTTGAATTAAATTGAATTAAAGTACTAAGCACTGTTCCATCTTCAAGCGAAATTTTTTTTTGAATAACTAATTCCTGAAATTTACGTGTTTTATAAGCATATTCATTATTGAAATTAAAATTTCTATGGTAACGGCTAGAGCAATTGTTTAAAGAAAAGGGGCGAAAGGGTTAATAATTTGTATCAATATCTCAGTTACATTCACAGACGTCAAGTCAGGGTAAGTTGGGGTGTCTAAATTTAAAGCGGATGATGAAATCGTCTAGTCTGGTTAAGTGTCTATGGAGATTTATTTATTTTTTTATTTTATTCTATTTTATTTTTTTTCTGAAAGGGTTTTGTGGATATAAAAAAGCTGACGTAAGTCGCTAACATTTGTTTTTTGACGGCTTCATAAAGGGTTATCTTTATTTTTTTTTTTTTTTATTTTTATTTTTATTTTTATTTTTTGTAAGGCATTTTAAACTATTTATTTAGACTATAAAAGATTTAAAACTCTTCAGGTGATCTTTTGGTATATATATATATATATATATATATATATATATATATATATATATATATATATATATACCAAAAAGAAATATAAAAGATTTAAAACTCTTCATGTGATTTTTGGTATATATATATATATATATATATATATATATATATATATATCAAAAGAAATATAAAATTTAAAACTCTTCAGGTGATTTTGGTATATATATATATATATATATATATACCAAAAAATCACCTGAAGAGTTTTAAATCTTTTATATTAATCTTATCAGCTCTGCACATTTAGTTATTTAGTATTGTGTATTGAGCACTTTTTAAAATAACCGTCCTCTCGTCTGAATCCGTCTGTCCAAATAATTTTATATATATATATATATATATATATATATATATATATATATATATATATATATATATATATATATATATATGTATGTATAAATGTTAAAATATATATATGTTAAAACTATATATAAACTAACGCCCTTTTTTATTTATTAACTTTTATTGAATAGAAATAAATGATAATAATTTAAGATGGATTAAGATTAACTCGTTTACGTATTCAGGAATGGTTACATCTTAATTTCGAGCTAATGTTGATAGGACAACGTGGTGTAATTGAGTGGCTATCAAGATCACCAGACCTCACACCACCAGCCCTTGAATTAAATCAAGCAATGTTTAATAATTTTTTGAATTTAATGTAGAAATGTATCCAATAGTTTTAGAATCTTCATAGTTTTCAGCGTTGTATTGAACATGAAGGTGGGTATTTTGAATAGTTTGCTAATCGCAATAAATCATTTTTGTTTCGATTTGACAATACTTATAAATTTTCTTAAACTAGAATAATTTTTTTTTTTCATTAAAAGTTCATAAATGCATGAGCATATGTTAATAATAAATTACTGATATGAAAATACGTCAAATTACTAAAATTAAACATATTTTAAGTCCAGCCATGCGTAATACCCACTTAGGCGACCATGTCTCTTTCGATACATGACTGACGAGGAAGAATCTTTCCAGCAGTAGGTTGCCATTTTCATTCTGCGTAGACCAGTTGCCATCCCGGACTGTCCTGCTATTTACTTATAGCTGAGGGGAAAATAAGAGGATTCATACCTTACCCAAGGTTACTAGCAAGAGTAGTGAGTGTAATGGAGACGAGGCAGATTTTTCCCCGCAGGAGGTTGTCATCCAAGGCTATACAACCCGGTTTGTCCTGCTATTTAATCATAGAGGAGCATTCATACCTTTCGAGGGGTATTAGCACGCTATCCATTGTTCCACTGTCATAACAGCGTTCATTGTAATCAGAGACTTATATATCCCTTGAATTATTACAAGATATAATATAAAAGTACATCATGTATAAGAATACCGTGTATAAGAATATTGTATATAAGAATAGCATATAAAAGAATATCATACAAAAGAATACCATGTCTAAAAATATCGTATATAATAATATCATATAAAAGAATATCATATAAAAGAATATCGTATATAAGAATATCATATAAAAGAACACCATGTATAAGAATGTCGTATATAAGAATACCATATATAAGAATATCATATAAAAGAATATCGTATATAAGAATATCATATAAAAGAACACCATGTATAAGAATATAGTATATAAGAATACCATATATAAAAATATCATATAAAAGAATATCGTATGTATGAATATCATATAAAAGAATACCATGTATATGAATATCGTATATAAGAATATCATGTATAAGAATATCATATAAAAGAATATCATCAGAATTGAGGACAGAAAATTAGGAAGTTATTCCGTTATATTTTTTCCAGATCACCAGAAACTTATTCTTGCCAAAAATACTAATGTTTATTATTTGCATAATTTTGCTTTATTTATGAATGATTTTCCGAGTATCAAATCTAAAGAATGAGAAAGTTTCGTACGTTTCATTTTTCATGTAGAATAATTTGCACTTGAAGCAACCATCGTGAATAAGAAGGATAAAAATGCCTGGTTTGTTGTGGGTGAGGCATGAAAGAGAATGCTAATCTTTCATTTGGCACTAGTGTGCTAACAAATGACACAATTAAGTGAATAATGATGGAAAGGCGATAGAGGGCGCACTTTGTCATTGTCACGTGTCACTTCTCTAAAATGTTATTTCAAAGGTGAAAGGATTTATATAATGCACGAATTTTGAAAGTTGAAGTGATTTAAATAATACATGAGAATTTCAAATCTCCTAAATCGGCCTTGAAGAGGAATTGCCAAAGCTAGACAGGATGACATTTCGTGATGTTTGGTAATTGCCATGTTAATTCATGGATACTACTAAATAGATAGATAGATAGATAGATAGATAGATAGATAGATAGATAGATAGATAGATAGATAGATGCGATCTTGCATAAATCACCGAGTATATAAAAATCCAAAAAGACTTATCTAATATCCCTGATCTAATATCCATGATAGATAGATAGATAGATAGATAGATAGATAGATAGATAGATAGATAGAAAATGGACTGATGACAGACAAACAGATAGATAGATAGATAGATAGATAGATAGATAGATAGATAGATAGATAGATAGATAGATAGATGCGATCTTGCATAAATTACCGAGTATATAAAAATCCAAAAAGACTTATCTAATATCCCTGATCTAATATCCAAGATAGATAGATAGATAGATAGATAGATAGATAGATAGAAAATGGACTGGTGACAGACAAACAGATAGATAGATAGATAGATAGATAGATAGATAGATAGATAGAAAATGGACTGATGACAGACAAACAGATGAATGATAGATAGATAGATAGATAGATAGATAGATAGATAGATAGATAGATAGATAGATGCGATCTTGCATAAATCACCGAGTATATAAAAATCCAAAAAAGACTTATCTAATATCCTGATCTAATATCCATGATAGATAATAGATAGATAGAAAATGGACTGATGACAGACAAACAGATGGATAGATAGATAGATAGATAGATAGATAGATAGAGAGGTAGATGCGATCTTGCATAAATCACCGAGTATATAAAAATCAAAAAAGACTTATCTAATATCCCTGATCTAATATCCATGAGAGATAGATAGATAGATAGATAGATGCGATCTTGCATAAATCACCGAGTATATAAAAATCCAAAAAGACTTATCTAATATCCCTGATCTAATATCCATGATAGATAGATAGATAGATAGATAGATAGAAAATGGACTGATGACAGACAAACAGATAGATAGATAGATAGATAGATAGATAGATGCGATCTTGCATAAATCACCGAGTATATAAAAATCCAAAAAGACTTATCTAATATCCCTGATCTAATATCCATGATAGATAGATAGATAGATAGAAAATGGACTGATGACAGACAAACAGATAGATAGATAGATAGATAGATAGATAGATAGATAGATAGATAGATGCGATCTTGCATAAATCACCGAGTATATAAAAATCCAAAAAGACTTATCTAATATCCCTGATCTAATATCCATGATAGATAGATAGATAGATAGATAGATAGATAGATAGAAAATGGACTGATGACAGACAAACAGATAGATAGATAGATAGATAGATAGATAGATAGATGCGATCTTGCATAAATCACCGAGTATATAAAAATCCAAAAAGACTTATCTAATATCCCTGATCTAATATCCATGATAGATAGATAGATAGATAGATAGATAGATAGATAGATAGAAAATGGACTGATGACAGACAAACAGATAGATAGATAGATAGATAGATAGATAGATAGATAGATAGATAGATGAATAGATGCGATCTTGCATAAATCACCAGTATATAAAAATCCAAAAGACTTATCTAATATCCCTGATCTAATATCCATGATAGATAGATAGATAGATAGATAGATAGATAGATAGATAGAAAATGGACTGATGACAGACAAACAGATAGATAGATAGATAGATATTTGTAATTATATTTCTTTAACTTGTGCTTGATATGATCATAGTAATGATCATATCTATTCTAATAAATAGGTAGATCTGACTAGGGTACAACGCATAGCAACTTAGGATGAGAAATCGGAGAGCCGAGTTCGAATTCCAGACTGTTTCTTTACACTCATTTATGCGCAAATGCCTTTGGCAAAGGTAGAAATCCACCTCTTCTGTCGCCCCAGCTATGGGTTAAATGACAAGACTTGTATCTGGAAAAATCATTGTCATTCTCCAAAATTGTTAATGCAATAATCACTCACGAAAACAAAGAATTTTTATCATCCAAAATACGGTTCGCATTTAAATATCCCCGAATGGGTTGATAAGCCGTAAAAAAGCAAATCAATCAATCAAAACCTTACTAGAATAGATAGATAGATAGAGTAATGATATAGTTCTTTAAGTCTTTCTCCCTCTTCCTCTCTCTCTCTCTATATAACTCTCTCTCTCTCTCCTTCCCTCCCTCCCTCCCTCTTCTCTCTCTCTCTCTCTCTCTCTCTCTCTCTCTCTCTCTCTCTCTCTGGTCAATAAGATGTAATCTTGGTGTGTCTGCCGAAATGGATAAAGGATCGGAATGAGTCGGTTCCTTATATACATGCAAATAGGCTTTGGAAATATATGAATCCACCTCCACCTGCTCCTAGCTATGGGTTAAATAGTAAGACTTCAGAAAATCATTATCATCGCTAAAAAATACTCGTAAACCGAAAATATGCTTCGGCTTTAATAGCAACAAAAAAGGCTGATAAAACGTAAAAATTAAAGCAAACGATCAATCTCTCTCTCATTCACACACACACAC